ACAAAGCCATTACTTGGTATGATGGCTTACCTCAGCTTTAGAACTCATTCACTTCTGTGCCTGGAACTTTTATAAGGAAATATACTACAATTTATTTTCCTTTCATTACCACATATTAAAATTTAAAATTCTGTAATTTATCTCATTAGATGTTATCTGTGGCCATCTATTGACATGAGAAAGCCAGTCCTAATTTCTAGGCCTCAGCCTAGGAACTGCCTCATTGTCCCTGCCTTGGGCCAGTGTGGTTATCTAGGCACTTTAATCCGCATAGGTGGCTTACCTTAATATGCAGTAGATACCTTGCTTTTTTCTTCTTTTGCATCTTTACAAAAGTCCATCAATTCACTGCTACACTATATTGAAAAATAAAAGGAAGATTTCAATTCCAGTTTAATAAGTAAATAAATAAGTCTTGCCTCAGACAGAATTGTTGAAACCTCCTCCTTAGAGCAGCCTTCCCTGCTCCCTTCTACATGTAAGTGACTCCTTTGGTCTTTTTTTAGCTTTTATCTTACATGTCTTTTCTTCATAGCATTTTCACAATTTGACATTATCAGCTAGTCCCTGTCAAAGATACTAACATGTTCAAGATGGGACCATAATTCATAAATTCTGCTACCAGGTGACTTGAATCACAGGTGGTATATGCAGGGTTTGTATTAATTTTATTGGTAAAAAGACAGATGACAGTGATTAGATCCATTTATACCACCAGTGGTACATGCCATCCAATGGGACAATCACTGGTGGCTCCAGTCAGCAGGAACGTGGTAAGATGTTTATCTCTCTCCTAACCACTCTAGACTATAAGCTCCATGAGGACAAGAATTGATCTTACTCAAATTGAATCCCCTAATACCTCACATGTATACACTTAACAAATGTTTATTAAATGACTGGTTAGTTACACCGTAGTCAAGTCATGATTTGGTTGACACAGAGCATGTACTGGTGGTTAGTGGCAGGAAGTGAGGACCCAGAGTAAAGAGCTCAAGGAGTAGTCACAGTCTGAGGCAGTCCATATTGCTGGCCGGAGGAAATGAGGAAGAGCAAGCTAAAGCCCAGTCCTTACATGGCTCAACTTTGAACATCTGTATGGAGATATTATTGAGAGTGCTGGCTCAGGTTTGAGCATCCAGACAGGGAGATTCTTGAGAGTAATACCATGACTCTCTATGACCTTGTGCTTCCAGGCCATTACGAATGATGCCTCTTTTTTAGCTGAGTGATGGGTTATACTGAACTAACAGCAGTGCCAGATTTCCAACTTACTAACACCTCCCTCCTGAACTGCAGCTCACTTTCTTGCCCCTTTGCATTCAGATTCAGATATTTAAAATTTACGACCCTTTTCATGAAAAGTAAAATTCAAATATTACCAGATTCACAATTCTAGCCATTGGTTCTAAAAATGAAAGACACACACACAGAGAGAGAGAGAGAGAGAGAGAGAGAGAGAGAGAGAGAGAGAGAGAGAGAGAGAGAATGAATATAAGCCTACAAACTTTTAACTGTTTTCCCTAGCAGACAGCACTGTTCAGACGAGAACATGAACCTGAGAAACGTGCATTTATGAGGACCCGAGTGCACTCCAGGGTTTACTGGAATTGAACATGGGATATGATTCTTTTTAGCAACTTCTCCCAAAAGGTGGAAATTTCTCAGGAGGAAGCATGTTCTATGTAGGAAGGTCAGTGAGTGAGCAGTGGAATATTATTCTGCCAGCCTGGTGAGCTCAGAAGATGAAGTGACAGAAATCAGTGTCTGTCAGGCAGCCAAGTCCAGCCCCCTCATTGGAGTATATGTGCAGCCCCTGCCACTGTAACTCTGGTTCCTTACAGTACTGCAGAATACATGTGAGCTGCAATGCCAGTAAACAGCACAGAAAATAAAATTTTTAGAAAGTAAGGCCTTTCTACAACTTATAGGACTTAATAGAGCAAGTCATAGCCCTACTGATTGAATTTCTGACTAAATGGTAAACAGTAATTTTCCCCATATCACTGATACCTCAAAGGGACAGTTTACTCATTGTCTATAAATTCTCTTCATATTCTAATACAGCCTTAAAAATTGTCATGACAAGGACTCATTTAGGTAGCACATATACTAAAAAAAAAAAAATTACCACAGTAAAAGTACCAACATTTATTTTGGTTTATCTTCTCATATGGAATGTGCTATAAAAACTAAAATAAGTTAATGTATCCTCCCCATCCTATAATAAACTGTCACTGACTTAGACAAGTAACTGAGCCTGTATCCCAAATTAATTTAAATTCCTGTTGATATTCTGGTCTTAGAAGAAGAGATTTCCTGATGACTTTGCTCCAGAATGGTTTCTTTGAGATTATATAAACAGTACTTCTCGTCATAATAATTTCAGCTCTTTTCTTCTGGGTTCTGGTTTTCAGTACTTTATTCTTTCAAGTCCTCTCACTCGTACTTAGCTGAGAATCTGTTTTCCATGTTCACACATAATACAGTTTGGAACAGTATTATCTTCTTTCAGACATGCCATTCTACTGCTATTCCCTGTTATCTAGCAGTCTGGTTGATAATTTGTCTTTGCCTATGAGTTCTTTTCTGCCACAGTGAATCAGTTAGGTCATCCATTTGCTATTGTTGAAGCCTATCTCCACTTGTCCATTTACCTTTCTGGAGGTGTGTTCTTTGGTTTGTTTCTGAATAAAGTGGCCTTGACCAAAAGAACAATGGAAATAATGTGGGTTCATTACTTTCTTCGGGATTGGCAGTTAACATTTTGAGTGAGACAATACATATTGTTTAGGCTGTTGTGTCAGGACACTAACACTTCACAGAGGTAGCACCTGGCAGAAAGATACATACCACCTATGAATTTGGAGAAGGTTGAGTCATGGCTTTCCCAACTCTTAATGAGTAGTTTCCTAGCCTCTCTTAACCTCAGTTTCCCTACGCTTTAAGTTGAAATAATGATATCTACGTGCTAGAGTTGAGAGAGCTGAGTGTGAGATAATGTATGTGAGCCCAGAAAATGGCAAATTCTAAAGACTTGGCTGTTTTTGTTATAATAAATAGTAATTATTCATGAAAATGTAACAGAATTTTCATCCAGTCTGAAAGTCTATGTTGGTGTAAATTATTAGTATAAATAAAATACATATTTAACATAATTTTACATAAAACATGTAATCAGCTATTACATAGAGATGGTTACTGTGAAAAGCAGAACTAAAAGGACAGAAAGATATAGTCCCTGGCTTGTGACCATTGGCACATTAAATTGATTTATCAATGAAAGAGGAATAGAAAATTGGAGGAAAGACACATTTATTTTAGCTCCAACAACTCATGTTGTTCTAAGTGAAAACTGTTTTCATAACTTGAGCTCCAGTTTAGGAATTTTATCTTAAGGGTCAAAGGGATAAAAGGGCAGCAGTATATCTTTAGGCATGAGGCCTGAGGATGTAGTTCAGTAGCAGAGTATATGTATGCATGCCGGTGGTCCTGAGTTCAACCCCCAGTACCGCTAGAAAATGATTATGCTTGATTTTGGTGCCAATAGGGCTTGATAATGCCAGAGAATTTTGTGTATATTTTTAATGTATTGGTCTTCCCTGTCTTCAGCAGTGATTATGCCTTTCTATAAATGAATAAGCCCCTCTGTGTGGAATCATTTCATGAGGGATTTAGCTTGGAAGTGCTCCAAAAGCCCCCCATACTTGATTGAGTTCCAGCTTCACAGCCAACAATCACATTGTCCTTGGTGGTGAGGCACAGGAGACTCAGGCCATCATCTTGCCCTCCGGCTGCCAGAGTTCGTGAATATAAATGCAAGATAGATTATATTCATCCTTGCATTTTTGCTTTGAAGTTGAAACCAGGATTAGGTGATCCTGGAGGCTATTTTAAGAAAATATCTTCGCAGTTCCTTTTATCTGGATGCTTCTCACTAACGTGTTGTGAAAATTCTATCTGTATTCGTATAATAGACCCAGTATTCCCATTTCTGATCTCTGGAACCCCTTAAGACCTCATTAAATTAGTGCTCCATCTGTCTGGGTTGGAGTCAACAAATCTCTTGCTGCGTCTTCATCACAGCCCTCCACCTCTTTCTTCTTTGCTTGGCTGATTTTACTTAGATGGCACCTCTGAGCTTTGGGGTTTTTTCAGAACAAGAAATTTCTGACATGCATATTTGGATTTCAGCCTGCTTTTTCAATGAAAATGATAGCCAGAAACCCCTTATGAGCCACCACAGGAACTCTATTCCCCCATCTCTCCCCTTTCCAGAAAGCATTCTCCTTGTCATTCCTGCCCTGTCACTTGGAAGATGACAGAACAACATGACTTAATACTGGGGTTGTAGCCTGTGATGGGTCTCAGAAGCATTGTGACACCATCTTCTCCTTTAATCCTCATGTCCCATTTGACTCGTGAGAAAAGTGAGGGGCTTCCAGCTATGGAACAGTCCCCAGGTAACACAACTGGAGACCCCATGTCCAGGGATGGAAGAGAAGAGCCATCTTGTCTACCTGCTCACCGCCACTCTTTTTTTTGTTGTTGTTGTTTTGTTTGTTTCGTTTTTATTGGTACCAGGGATCGATTACCGCCACTCTTAAGCCACAGTAACCACCACTGGGCTTAGTGATCCAGATGACCAGTGCTTCAGTAAAAAACATGGGTGACTATGCCCCAGGGTGATAGCCCTTACTAGTAGAAACATCATTATAAAAAGCTAAGTTAGGATTTGTGACACCAAATTGAATGACATAATATATATAATGAACATTACAGAACTATGTTAGTCCTCTGTGTACAAGGCTGAGATCTAAGTACTTTTCAGTAAAAATACTCAATTCTTATAATACACTAACATTCTCTATTGTTTTTTTAAGCTAGTATTCTCAAAACTGTCATCCTGCTTTATTTTGCTGAAACCAATGTGTATTACCCTTCTTTGCTCACCAGAAGAGCAGAAATTTAAACACTGTCTTTCCTTCACTGCCTGGCAGCGCCCCATCATTTCCATCTGCTGGGGCCACCGGGACTCACGGCTGCTGATGGCCTCAGGGCCTGCCCTGTATGTAGTTCGTGTGGAGCATCGGGTGTCCAGCCTGCAGTTGCTATGCCAACAGGCCATTGCCAGTACTCTGCGAGAAGACAAAGACGTCAGCAAGCTGACGCTGCCTCCCCGCCTCTGTTCATACCTCTCCACTGCTTTCATCCCCACCATTAAGGTAAAGCCTTCTACCTACCCTTCCTGATCCTCCTTCCTCTCCTGTCTGTCACCCACCGCTCACCAAGAGGAGAGCAGAGACAGGATAGATAGGGGAGGATACCAGAGCACATTCACAGAACTCACCTGCTTTTCCATTAGAAGGCCTGAGGATGGTTACCTGCATGGAAGATCCATGCCTGCAGTCTACTCTGATCATCCCTGCTAATGCCTGTGTAAGGTTTGTCTAATATGATGGGCCTTATCTTTCTCATGGTCACCCTAATTCTCAAAGCTTGACTCCTGGGTCATGCTGATGATCAAAGGAATGAATATTTACTTAGTACTTCCTGTATACTAAACATTACCTAGATACTTTATGAAAGCTATTTGGTTCAGTCCTGATTTCAGGCAGTTGTTAACAGTAGTCCCATTTGAGAAAGCAGGAAAAAAATTTGTAAAAGTGAAATAACTTGCCCCATAAATAGAGGAATAGTTAGGATAGGACTCAATACCATTCTAGGGCCACCTTACCTCTCCTCTGTGCTAAAGGACAACCCCTATACAGAGCAGCTGCCAGGTGTCTTATACATACCATATCTCCAGAAACTGGTAATGTGTATAATAAACTTACCAGTTGCTGCTCATGGGTTTTCCTTAACTTCTAAATATCATATTGATTTGTTTTGGTACTTTCTCATTTTTATAACACACTTTTTAAGTCTCTTATGATTGTTTTCTAAGTTGCCTTAATATTAATTTCCACACCAGCAGCTCTCAATCATAATATATTATGTTGTATTAGAAAAAAACAGATGATGTGCACCCACAACCATGAACCACTGTGGATGGTTCACATGATAAACTACATCATGTACTTAACTTCTGTCGAGCTGCCAACCTGTGCTCTGTTGGAGACACAGTTACTTCTTAACTGACCTGCCCCATACCTGCTCTGTTTCTTTCTCTGGACTCTGGAATTCCATCTTTCTTTTTCTGCCCATGTCCAACTCTAGCCCCCAATTCCAGACCCCAACAACATGCGAGACTTTGTCAGCTACCCCTCAGCTGGCAATGAGCGGCTGCATTGCACCATGAAGCGCACAGAGGATGACCCAGAGGTGGGTGGCCCATGCTACACACTCTATCTGGAGTACCTGGGCGGCCTTGTACCTATCCTTAAGGGAAGGCGTGTCAGCAAACTGCGGCCAGAGTTCGTCATCATGGACCCACGGTCAGACAGCAAATCAGGTAGGTCTCTCATCAGAAGGACTGAGACCTTATTTTTGCATGGTTGTAGATTGTCAGACCTTATAACTCACACAAAGAGAATCTTGTTGGCTAGCATGCTATGTCCTAAAGCTACTAAATATCGGATCCCATTTAAATGAAAACTTCTCTAAATATCCTAACAGGCTTTTTGAAAAACAGTGTTTAAAAAAAAAAAAAAAAAACAAGGGCCAGGGGTTTTGCTCAGTGGCATAAGTGCCTGCCTGGTAAGCAGGAGGTTGTGAGTTCGATCCCTGGTACAAAAAAACACACAAAACAGTTTCATAGGCATTATATACTTGGAGTTGTGATTAGTCAAAAGGAAGCCAGCACAGTCCTTCTATCACCAAGAAAGTCCTCTTATAATTACTGATCAAGCATATATTAAGAACTGTAATACAATATTGAGACAATTTGAAAATAGCAAAATATGTTCCTTTCCTCTTAGAGTAGATGATAAAACTAAAATTTTCAAATCTTCAATCTGATTCTCAACCTTTTGCCTCTGCTTCTCACTAATACACTATTAGTTGCTTCTTAGCTAATTTACCAGTGAAAATTTCTTGCTCATTCCAAAGGTCTTGATATGATGAATCACTGTCTCTAAAATTCCCTCCTGTGCTAATCATCATTGCTCAGTTGCATTAGCTTTCCTGTTTCTGGGACAAAATAACCAATACCCACAACTTGAAGAAGGAGAGAGGTTTAATTTGGCTGATGGTTTGGGGGTTCCAGTCCATACTCAGCTGGCTCCAAGGCAGAAATGGCATGATAAAAGAGCCTCACAGAAGAAAGATGCTCACCTGTGGCAGTCAGGAAACAGAGAGAGGAAGGAGGAGTCAAAGGCAAGAACACACTCTTCCAGGTCACACACTCTCCTTCTCATTGAACCACCTGCAACCAGACCCTAAGTCTAACAACATATTTAGCCATGGACTCACTGAGTATAGCATGAGTGCACTGAGTATAGCACCCCCATAGTCCAGTCCCTTTACCAAAGCCCTACTTCTGAATATATGAGACTTTGGGGAACATTTTAGATCTAACCAAAATCAGTTAGTGTCATTGCCCAGCTGACAAAGCTATTGCATTCCTCTCTCCAGAATTCCAGACTTGGGGATTTTGTAATACTTAGTCCTGGCCCAGTTCCTCCTGGTAAGGTCTTCCCTGTCACCTACCACAGCATGAGCAGCACTGTTCTCAGTGCTCATAATCAGTCATGGACTGGTGGTATCCTAATTAGAATACTTTGGTCACTGCGCTCTGAAGTCTACCTTCTGACTGAATCCTGAGGGCCTGGAGGAAGGAAGTGGTTTTATCTTAATACCCTTGGTGCCTTATAAACTACTGACCTCAAAACAGTATTAGTTAGTTTGATTTTGTTTTCATTAGTTCATTTGTACTTTTCTAATACCTTGGGCCATCACTTGGCAACCCACAAACCTGGCAAGTCCTTTATGATATCTCTGAAGCTACCATGACATGTATATGCCTAGAGTCATACTAAGTCACAACACAGTGAGATTGTTTCCCCTCAGCTTTATTTACCTACACTGGTATCTTATGCAGTGCATTGCCTTTGTTGTGAATTGTTTGCTCAACATCTGTGGCAGATTCTGCAATTGATGTTACCATATAACCTCATAAGCAGTAAAGCTCTGCTTAAAAAATTGGATACTTGTCATTTATTTGTTGCCACGAGATAAACTAGTACAAAGGACAGAGCTAGTAGAATTGGAGACTGGCAGGCTTCAGGTGGAAAGAAAGGGTAGGGGATACAAAAAAGAGAGCCGACATTAACTTGGAAGGAAAACATAGTTTGAGGAGAAGACAAAAGGAAAGCCAGTCACTGGTTGGTGGTGACTTGAAAGAGGTGCCTGGGACAGGTTCTCATGCAAAACCTGTACACATACATGCTCTCGCTGGATGTCAAAATCTTGAACTGTTTTCCCTTGGCTACAACTATCTAAAACCTGTGCTAAAGTTGAATGTTAGGATCACTTGGGTGAAGAACTTGTGGACTTCCCCATATGCCTCATTCCCACACTGGGGAAGAGGTGCTTGAGGCCTAACCTGACTGTGCCAAATGCGTATTTTCCCCTAATGTAGTATTTATCAGCTTGTATCAAGCACAGCAGAATCTATTGCTGACTATCCTTTGGGGAATGAGGTGTTTTATTTTGATAATTTTTATAATTAAAAGTTATAAAGCAGAACAAATCAACAGATGTTTCACCTTCTCTGTCAGGTACTTGAGTGGGAATGTTAAGCAGGACCAGGATATCTCTGCTTTTAAGAAATTGTAAACCCTTCAGGGTGACAAGAAAATTTAAGTATTTAAAAAGTTCAATTAAAAAGTCAAATTCAAATACTTCATGACAGAAATATCACACTGTATCGCAAGGCACAGTGTGAATAATTACCAACTGAATAGTACATATAAACTACCATAGAGGACAAAGTGATTCCTGACCTTTCCAAGTCAGGAAATTTCTTATATGAACTCTTTCAAGCTTCCATATGATTGTTTTCCAGAAAGCTGTCTTTAGACCACCTCTGTGCAAATATATTAAATAAAAGTGCCTGTGCTCATTCCTTAGGTGGGACTGTAAGTCTGGACTGGAGCCTAGCAATCTACAACTGAGTAGACCCCCAAGTGATATTTTTATGTGCTAAACTTTGTAATATGCTGTTGTAATTGTTCACCAAATGACTTGACAAACATTCCTCAAAATAATGAGAATTTTAAACTAAATATGGTGAGTTCCCTTGGTGGGGTGGGGAGTGTATAAGCTAGAGATCAGTCACACATTTGGGGCGACAGTAAGGCCAGCCCTGAGAACGCAGAGCATCAGAGGAGAGCAGATTGTTGGGACTAGAGCAAAGCCAGTCCAGCGGTGTCCAGCCTTGGTGCTCCTCCCTTTCCATCATAGCATAGATAGCTCTGAGTTTTATTTTTAGTGTACTCAGAAAAACACTTGAGATCTTGCAAATTTGGCTCCATTGCACACAGTCTCCTTTTTACTGTGTATAAATAAAGATGCAAGCTGTGCTGGGTTGTTGCCGCCTTTCTCAGTCAAGTCAGTCCCACCCCCGTCCCACTTTTCCTTTTATTATAATTTCCTGCTACCCCCTTTCAGGACTCCACTGGCTCCATGGGTTACAGTGTGTGTGTGTATGTGTATGTGTGTGTGTGTGTCTAGGTATCTGTCTATATGTTAGTGAAAATCTGTTTTTAAAACTCTTTATAGAGTTTTCTAGGAGCTAAATTCTCAGATTCCTATGTTGAAGTACTAATCTCTAGTGTTACTACTCTTTTAGGATATAGAGCTTTTAGGATAAAATTAAATGAGATTATAAGAATGGAGCCCTAATCTGACAGAATTATTAACCTCCTTTTAAAAAATTTTTATTGTAAGTTTATTGGTACATTGTAGGTATACTTAATGGTCACATTCATTAAAGGATATTTGTACCTCTACATGATAGAACTTGATTCTTTTTTTCCCATCCCTCTACCCTCCCTCAACCCTTTGTCCCCTCCGTATTTACAAAAGCCTATGTTCACTTTTTTCTTCTTTTCTCATTTTTTTCCTTCCTCCAGCCCCTCCCCTGGTTCCCTTCCCATCTGAATATTTTCTTCTTGTTTTACAGTATCTATTATATATTTTGGTCCTTATTTGCACTTTGTTTCTGACACCAGAGAAACAAGGTATTTACACATGTGTGTCTGGTTTATTTCACTTAAGAGTATGGTCTGAAGATGCATTCATTTAGCTTGAAGTATCTCAGCTTATCATTCTTTATGGCTGGATAGAACTCCATTGTATTAAAACCTCGCATCTTCTTTATCCATTCATCAGTTGATGGGCATTTGGGGTGTTTCCAAGATTTAGCTTTTACAAATTGTGCCACTATAAGCATGAGTGCACATATATTGCTGTAGTATAGTGCTTTTAATTCCTTTGAGAAGATACCAAGAAGGGGAATAGCTGGGTTGAGTGGAATCTCTGATCCTAGTTTTTTGAGAAATCTCCACACTGATTTCCACAGTACTTGTACCTGTCAGTGAAGATGGCTTCTTTTCTCTTCACAGCCATACCAGCCTTTGGGATAAGATGGAATCTCAGAATCTCAGAATTCTTTTAATTTGCATTTCTTGAATGACTAATGATGTTGAATACTTTTTCATATAGTTGACATTTCTACTTCTTCATCTGAGAAATGCCTATTTCAGATACCATTTTTGCCATTGGGTCTTTAAATTTGAGGAGGTCAAGTTCTTTATGTATTCTAGATAGTAGTCCTTGGAGGCAAAGCTGGAAAAAAATATTTTTTCCCACACTGTGGGTTGTCTTTTGACTCTGTTAGTGGTTTCTCTGCTGTGCAAAATGTTTGTAATAAGATGAGATCCCAGTTGTTGATTCTTTATCATAGTTCCTGTGCAGTTGGGGTTTTGTTTATAGTATTTACTCCCCTAGTTCCTTTAAGAGTTCTACTTATGCTATCTTCCAGCAGATTTAATGTTTCTATTTTAACATTTATATCTTCAATCCACTTTGATTTTAGGTTACTGCGTGTTGAAAGATATGGGTCTTAATTTTTAATCATTAGTATTTAATCTTAATTTTAATCAAAGATATGGGTCTTAATTTTAATCAAAAACCAGTTTTCCAGCACCATTTATTAAATAGACTTTCTTCCAGTAAAGGTGTTGGGCTCCTTTGTCAAAGATAATATGGATAACAATATCTGGAGTGGTTTCTTCATCTTCTAATCTTTTCTATTGATCTTTGGATCTTTTTGCCAGTACCATGCTGTTTTCATCACTGTAGCTTTATAGTATAATTTCAAGTTAAGGATTGTGATGCTCCCTGCCTTGCCTTTTTTGCCCATAATTGCTGTTGCTATTCTAGGTCTCTTCTGATTCTAAATGAATTTTAAGATTGTTTTCTCCAATTCTGTGAGATATGCTATTGGAA